GGCAGCATCGCAATTTCTCAGGTATCTAATAATCAAATGTGGATAAAACGATGAAAAATGTCAATGTTACGTGAATTTCATAACGTATTAGGTATTGAGTTATTTCAACCTATTTTTCTATGGATATGTCATTATTATACGACGGAAATGTTGAAGACGCTTCTCAGCATTCTCGATGTTTTGAACAATATTTATAGGTACCAAGTCGTAAATTGTCAAATACTTATTGAGGAGTTTATAGAAGAAGTAGTATTCACTAAAGTGCAAGAGCACGCACAAAATCACAGTTTTATTTATTAGTTTGACAAGCAAAACTATCCTTTTAAGTAACCGATTTTCGAATCGCTTAGCGCAATGAGTAAAGACGCTAGCGCATCAAATGAGACTACCCAAATTGGTAGTCAAGTGCGAGCTAAAGCAGAGTTTACACTGCCACGCCCTTTCTAATTCGAAGTTCAATAAAACACAAAGTTTACTTAATCTGAATGAGTTGCATAGAGGCCACTAGCTTTTTAATTTTAACAGCCGGGTGGTCGGGGTTCAAAGATATTAATAAAAGGGCGCCATAAGATTATACTCTATGAACTCGGCAATAAAGATGTAACTATTAAGCAGACTTCAACACCAACCTCGAACTGTTGAGTACAACTATCATGAACTTCAAATATTCTATAACTATTTGTACTTAAGTGACTCTAACTTAACTATGAGACTGTAAATAATACTACTAAAAATATTTAAGCAATTTATTAAAATATCAAAAGTTTATATTTAAAACCTATGACGTCAAACCCCCTTATCTAACTTAATACTAGATACAAACAGGGTGGTTTACATAAAGTAAATCTAAATCTAAACAGTCTTACTCTAATCGATGTACAATCTTGAAACAACTCGGAAGTTCCTCCGGCTGAGCTACGGTGTATAGCTACAGGGTGGCTACGGCGGTGCACAGCAGCTCGGTGTACTGTCACTGGAGCCCACGGATGTCAGCAGACGTACGGATGCCAGCCAGGTGTAGGACTTCAAGAGGTGAACATAAAAACCCTAAATAATATTGGTTGTCTTAGAAAAGAGCCTCAATTAGAACAAGGACTAGCACAACGTGTAGGAGTTAATGAAGGTAATAAAGAAGGACTAATTAAATCTGAACTTTACCTCAACGAGGGTTTATGATGTCCAACGGATAACTCTACACACGGGCAACAAGAACAGATGGAATTCTGGACTGTTCTGTGCTACGGTCTGGATCGGTCTTCTTACTCTACAATTACGAACAACCAAATAAGATTTAAGAAAGATAACACCCAACTAATCTTTCTACACCACGTGGCGTGGAAAAGTCGAAAACCAGATAACAATATGAACAAAAATCAGTTGAGCATTGGCTTAGACTAGGCAGAAGAATTATAGCATACCTTGGAACTATCGGGGACTTCTTGGGCACGTGGAATCGGAATATCGGTCGGAAAATTTGGCTATTTAATCCTTTACGGAAATTGGTCGGCGGTCCATACAAATCAACAAAATCCAACCACGTCTCTAACCAAATGCGTTTCGGAAGCCTTAATCCTTCTCTACGAAGACCTGCTATTCACCCACAGGAAATGCTTCACGAAACGGCAGCCAGTTCTTCACGACGAAACTCTTCAGCCGGGGAGTACACAAGAAGTGATGCAAGGATTCGATTTTCTTCACAAAATCAGATTTCAACCGGAAATCCAGGATACATATAGAGAATATCTCGACTAGTCCAACTCACAAAAGGCATAAATAAAAACGACGTTCTAGAATATTTTTCATTGTCATATTTCATATCCGGTCAATGAACGAACTTATTCACAAATTCCCACCATTAAATGAACGAATTGCACACTGCGATCCACATCAAAATAACCAATTTAACTACGAAATTTTATCTGATAATTATAAAATTTCAATAACCAAACAAAGGATAAATAAATCCAAACATCTGATTTGGATCTGACAGTGACAAGGGACAAGTGATGACCAAAGATTTAGAGAGATGGACAAAAATTCTAATGCTGGGCGGCATCCAGTGATAATATTCTGTGGCTCTATAGCGCTGTGTATATCGGGTTGCATAATTGTAAAATTTAAATAAAATAATATTTAACAATAAAATTATAGTAAACATGATGCAAAAATAATAGCTATTTGCGATATTTTATGAGCTAGCACACAGAGGTCGTTGCGAGGAAATTTGACTGTTACAACACTGTGTCACTTTGGGTGTACAACCAAAATGAATCACTCAGATTGAATTGATCCAAATTGTACATCCTTGTTTACATATTTTCATCCAGTTCGCAGCAGTTCACTGTTTCATCTTCCGCAGACTGCCACCTCTCCCAGTGTTTTCTATATCGAGGTTGGCCGCACGAGTCGGCGTCGGCTGTTTACATTTTTCACTTGCCGTTCAATGTGGATGAATCAACGGTTCGTTGAACGCTTCTTTCAACAAAAGTAGGAAGACCGTCAACTTGTTTCATCGTTCAATTTTAGTGTACACTTTGGATGAAACAGTGATGAAAGGCAATTTATACTTATCACTTTGGATTATTCATCAAAGTTGTACATCCAAACTGACAAATGTAAATGAGCCTTAAGCTAAAATTAACGTCATATTATACGCTGAGCGTCTAAAAGTGCTTAGTTCTAAGTTACAGAATTTGGGCCCTGACTTTTTTAAACATTCTAGTTATAATATAATCGTTTGAATAATTTAGTATCTGTAGCTACTATAACAAGTCATATTAAAGAGAAAATAATTGCCTATAATCTAGTACTAAACAATATGCAACTAAAAATAAACAACCAAATCTTACTGAAATATACATACTGTAAAATAGAGTTCAGTATCAAATATATTGGCTTTTAATCCAATTAGTTGCCATATTATAATACAACCAAAATTGAATTCAATAATTTTTTTTTATTTTAACGTTTGTATATTTACATAAATTGGCAATATAAATTCAATAAACACAACAAGTAAAAATTTCTCTTACAAAACCAGATAATTCATTGGCCTAAAAACAATCAGAACTTGTAGTCGACAGAGCGGCATATTTATTTAATTCGTCAGCTGACCGTTATTGTAAATGTCAAAATGAATATTCTTATATAATTAATTATTTAATCGTATTCTTTTTTTAACCAATTCTTTTCTACCGGGTATATTTCACAGACTGTTTCTTCGATCTACGTCAAACTTGGTTAATTTTAATGTTATGCAAAGCTATAATTATGTTTTCAAGTTTGGTTAGCTAGCGATTAGATTGAACAAAAATTACTTTACATGAGCTGTAAACTCAAGTAAATTTCTAAATGTTTAGTAAAGATCGCAATAATTTTATTTTTACATGAAAGCCTGTACCTTAATCTACTTTTCTACATAATTTCCGTGAATATTGAGGCACTTTTCATAACGTGGCACCAGTTTTTCAATACCATCCTCATAAAATTCTGCCGCCTGACTGGTTAACCACTGTATCAAAACTGTTTTGACTTCGTTATCGTCTTCAAGATGCTGACCGCCCAGGTGTTTCTTCAAGTGCAGGAATAAATGGTAGTCACTAGGCGCCAGATCAGGGCTGCATGGAGGATGATCTAGAGTTTCCCATTTAAAAGATTTGATGAGATCTTTGGTCCGATTAGCCACATGTGGACGGGGATTGTCATGCAGCAAAACAGTACCCTTACTCAACTTGCCACGTCTTTTGTTTTGGATTGCACGGCGCAGATTGTTCAATGTCTAACAATAAGATGCTGCATTGACTGTCTCATTACGAGGCAGAAACCTAATTAGCCAGATACCTTTCTGTTCCAAAAACTGTGCACATGATTTTTCGGGCAGAAATTGTTTTCTTAAACTTCACTGTTTTGGGTGATGATGAATGTCGCCATTCCATGAACTGTTGTTTCGATTCTGGTGTGACGTAGGCCACCCATGTTTCGTCACCAGTAACAATTTTGTCTAAAAATCTTCACCTTCATTGTGGTACTGCTCAAGGAAAATGCACTGCCTAAACGTTGGGTTTTGTGCAAATCCGTCAACATTTTCGAAACCCAACGTGAACACAATTTCCGGTAATTCAAGTTCTCGGTCACAATGCGATACAAAACACTACGAGAACATTGAGGAAAGTAGTCGCACAATGATGAAATTGTAAAGCGTCTGTTTTCTTTCACCTTTTCGTCCACTTTCTGCACCAAATCTTCATTAACGACCGAAGGACGCCCACTCCGTTCTTCATCATGCACATTTGTGCGGCCCTCTTTAAATACCCCTGCCTCCCGCGTACAAAATGGGATACGATTTCCTTAAGCTCCGATTCATTAATAACCGATTGTATCAACGAAGTTGAGTTGCCCAAAGGGCGTCCGCTGGCTAGGTAGCGGTGGAGAGAGTTCCCAGGGGGTCCCAAAGTCCGTAGAAAACCGAAATCCGGAACGATTTCCTTAAGCACGAAACTCTCACGAGAAGAACATTATGTTCCATAAAGTATCCTAGATATGGTCCGCTGGCTGGGCGGTGGTGGAATCCACGTCCGCTGATGGATCCAAAGAGTTTAAAACGTAAATTTGAAAACCATTTCCTTAAGCTTGAAATTTTGATGGAAGCTTACATTTTATTGACATTTGCAAAAATAATCGTCCGCTGCCTGTATGTGGGTGGAAAAGTCGTCCGCTGGTGGGGTAAAGGAAGATAAAGGGTACTGAACATAAACGCGTTATGATGCACAAGCGGACGATATTTCCACCGACATACAGGCAGCGGATGATTGTTTTCGTAACTTACCAAAATATTACCTTCATCAAAATTTCAAACTTAAGGAAATGATTCTCGACAATCTATTCACAAAAACATACATGGAAAACACGAGAGGTTGAATCATAATTTAATCAGTCGACTAAATTTTTAATAATTAAAAAACTGAAATATTATATTATTGAGTAACTATGTAGATAAAATATTAAACAAAAAATTCCAAAAAGTTTAATCATCATCTTCCTCATCACTGTCATTATCAGATACATCACTGTCTTCATCCTCTTGTGATAATTCATCTTCATCCGCCTCATCAGTGCCTAGAAAAATAAGTATTAAATATTAGAATGGCATGAAAAGCAGAAATTAATAATAATTTGAATAAGTACCTTCAGCATTTGTATCTTCTTGTGTGATCATTTCCACTGATGACGGTAGCTGATCGCCCTCGAACCATTTGCACACAAATTTTCCGTCTTCAAATTGCCAACCATACTCGAGTGGATCCAAATTTGGAGGCTCCTTTTTGAAGGCGTTTTTCCAAATATTGGAGATCAAGATGGTTCTACGAAGGTGTTGAGTTAGTTCCGATTGTGATGGCGGCAAAAGGGAACCATCAAAATTTTTATTGGGCAATTGCAATCTATTTTCCTCTTCACTGAATTTATAAATTTTCATGAACATTGCCACCCGACCGTCGTTCACTTTATCAATTGATTTGAATCCATACATAGCGCATACAAATTTTTCTATTGTAGCGAAAATTTCATCAGCGTTGTCAGTGTTCATATCATAAAAAGCTTTCAAAAACTCTGGACTTCTTTTCAAAATTGAAATGGTCTTACTTCCTTTCTTGAAAAACGCGGGATTGTAGTCGCAGCCTGAAAAGGCGTGAAAAGATGGTAAAGCGCGACACACGTTCTTCCCCAGAGCTGAATATAATTGGTTAACATTTAAAAACCTCTCTCTATTTCCAGTGCCTAGTTTTATCCAAACTCTAACTTTATTCTTGAAATTGTGCATGTTACCAAGCACAATTATTGGGATATCCGAATCTGATGTTCTGACTACTACATTTTTGTCATCATCAAGCTGGCAAATATGGAAAACAATCTTAGTGTCTGCTTCTTCATGACCTGGACAGGCCAAACTCTGCAGAGTAGTTTTGCAAACTTTGTCATGGACAACGCTGTATTTGTGACATTCATCAGCACTGATGTACACTTCTTTGCTATTGATAAAAGATGCCATTTCGTCGTACCCCCAATGATTTGAGAAAAAGTTTATCAATTCTTCCTTGAAGTTTATGTTTCTCATTTCCCTGGTGAACTCCAAAGGACGTACTTGGTCTGGACCACGTATTTTGAATTGTTGCCCTCTGCTTGTTCCTCGACATTGGTGCGCTGAATCCTTGATGGACGGACTTGGATAGGAGTCAAATAGGACTATGATAGTCGACGCAGTATTGGAAGTAACCATCTGCAGGAACTTCTTCGAGACATTTCCAAAGGTACGTGGCACATCTTTCATAGCATTTAACAAAAAAAAGCCATCAAATATCATGACGTCACAATATGGTGGAGAATCACTTTGTATTTGTTTTTCTAATTCTTTCAGAAGGGTCGACTTGTCTGTTTTGCATAATGTACCGTCCACGTGGGAGAAACATAATGACATAGGTGTTAGCGGATGCGATAAAATTTTGTCAATATCCAGTTTCTTCTCAAGAGATATTCGCAGTAACTGCCCAAATAAGTCCCTCTCCATTCGTACTTCCACTAATTTGCCGGATATAGAACATTTTTTCTTTCATGCACCACAGAACTGAAGTTAAGTATTTTGTTTTGTTTTATGGGCCGTTCAAATCTTGTCCTGTCTTCTGAGCATTCCTGTATAAACCTTTCTCGCTGCTCACTTCCAAGCTTTTCGACGTTGATTAGAAATTTGGCAACATCATTTTCAACTGCTCTACCCGTTGAAATATTATATAATAAGTCCTTATTTAAGTCGGTTGCGAAGGGGTTAACATTGTCTTTGATATTTTCAGGTATTTCGTACAATGATTTCAAATTTTTCCTCATCAAACTTGCTCGCAAATCTTCAGTTATGTCTTGATTTTTTTTCAAACCTGTTCGTTCATATGTGTAGGTGTTAACTGTACTATTTATAGTATGGCACAAGGCCCAACGTTGACGGGCTGAATATGAATTTGTTATATATGAGACTCCTGTCAATTTATTTCCTGCATCAGCATTAGACGTCTGCTCCATGGTGAGATCAGGTGGGATCCTTGAAAAAGATTTATTTGTTCTTCTAACACCAATTGACCCCTCCTCAAAGCTGGTTAGTAAACCCGGATGTGACTCCTCCACTTTCATTAATTTCTCATGATAATAGACCAGATAACGTGAATAATTCTGCTGGTTAAATGTGAAGAACATATTTGTAATACGTGGTAGTACCCACTTAAATGTACAGAAATCAGCCGTCCGTACACTCTGATCCAGAATCAAGTAATAATTTGCTAGTTTAACGTATAGCATGTAATACTGAGGGGTGAGTCCATATCGGCCTTCTAGTGTTTCTTCTGAGTACTTATCATATTTGGAAAATAGACTTATCAACTTTTCTTCCGTAATAGTTGGCCTGCTAGAAACTGTTGATCTAAAATTTAATAAAGCGTTCTTCTCTTCATCCGAAATTTCTATGTTTTGATCTTCTAGAAATCTTTCCATGTGCAATATTTGTATTGCGAGGGCCAAACGAGGATGCAGTCTTCTACATCTATTGTAATTTTTTGATGTCAAAAAACTACTGACGGATCCGCTTGCGATTGCATTTGAATTGACAAGAATGTTCGTCACTCCGCAGTCGTCGATAAACTTTCCCACCGCTTTCAGGTATGCCAGGTAAACATGAAATGTTCCTAGGTGGATGAATATTTTGTCAAATCTCGGTCTTTCAACATACTGAAGCTGGAAAGCGATTTTGGCAATAGCCAAATCGTAGGTGACTTCCATGTACTGTTGATTGCATTCAATGCGGGTTTGTTCACTTATATCAAGAGTTTTTAAAACGACAACAGGTTTTGTTGGAGACTCGTTAATTGTGGTTGTGTATGAAACCTTCTGCTGACTGCTTTTGTCATCGTACAACATACTGTAATATCCAATCCACATTGGCGTTTTGGGCAATTTCAGAAGATGAGACAGAATCCAGGTAAAACTAATATGTTTGAATGGTGTTAAGTCATGTTCATCATTGCTTATACGCAATGTACTGGCAACAGGCTCTAGTGATACTTCTAGCCGAGGCTTCTTTGCATACGATTCCAATTCAAAAGTTATCATATCAAAAGTGCGACGTCTCCTTTTCCTGTCGCCGTCATTTGTAAGTTGTTGATTTTCTTCCGCAGTAGCTGTAGTAACAATATTGGCACTTGAAGGAATATCTTGATATATGATTCCCACAGTATCATGAAGAGTGTCCTTACCGGTCAGCGTTTGAACAAACCGATCGAAGTTGTCGAATGCTAAACATGTACGTAAAGCAGGATTTCTCAAGATTCCTTCCGGACAAATTGTGCTTTTCTTAACGGCACAGTAAGTCGCTTCTGTGATTATTCCTGCTAACACATTGTCGCTGACGCAATGACCGTATCTGTTCACGATGTTCACAGCTTTCTGACTATTCGTAATACTCTTCAACGTTTGGGCCAACGTGATATGTTTAGAAGGTTTAATTCTTCCGTTAGAAGCGGCAAAAATAACGTCTTGTGCTAATGATTCACTGACTCGCCTTTTAGAAGCTATTTTTCGCCGAGTATTCATTGGCTCGAAAATTTTATCGAAAAAAGTAAATTGCGCCTTTCAGGTGTCTCACATTCACCAGCGATTATGTCTTCGGGACGGATGTCTGCAGGAAGCTTGTGCACTTTAACCGTACGTAAGATTGACTTGATTACTAGAGCCGCTTCATTTAAAATGTTGTCTTCTTGTAGTCTGTCAAAATCACTGTTCAAAAGGATTGATCCCAAAGGTTGAACCACTTCTTTTTCGTTGAAAACTTCAATCTCAATTTCATGACGAAATATTTCCAATAGCTTTGTCTTTAGGCGCCACGACTTTATCCTGATGGGAATTTCTTGATTATTTGCTTTACATTTTTCTTCATATAATATAACTAGGTATGAAAGTAAACAGCATTCCTTTTTGCAAACTATATGGTCCTTTACGTACTCCTGTACAGTCTTGAATGCTAACTTGTGCAGATCTCTGTTGTGATGCCATTCAGTTTTATTCTGCGTAGATCTTCTAGCAGAATCCGACTTCGTGCGGTATGCTAAATGACAGGCATTGTGGTATAAAAAATACCCTTCCGAAGCCGTAACTTTCTGAAGCCTATCAATTGTTAAAATGTCATTTTGTTCTCTTGCAATATCTAGAAGTTCATCAATAGTTTTCTTTGAGGTTCGCGTATGAAGAGATTGTTCATTGCCTCTATATTTTTTTCTTTTTGGTTGCAAAGAAGCAGGCACCGGAAGCAATTGATTCGTCTCTTTCTGGCTCGGCGATTACTCCCATAACTCCCTGATCGCTTAAACTGCAATAGTAATGGAAATTAGGTACAATAAAAATTTGAAAATAAACTCTAATTTTTTCTTACCATGATGATTCATCCAGCTCTACTTTTGAAGGTGACTGCTGCGTAGCTGCAGAATCCCCTAAATCTTCTTGTAATTCTAATAACCTGAAACATGTAAGTACGCTTAATTAAAAAAACAACAAAATATATTGCCTGATGAATCTTCAGCTTCTATATTTGAAGTAGAAGGAACTTCATAAACACTGAAATATTAAGAATTGGTTAAAGGCATGTCAATGGAGTATTCAATGTAAATATGCGATGGTAGGTGCGGCGCGGCGTATACTTACATTGGTGAATCCTCTTCTTCAAGATTTGAACTAAACTGCGGACCTGCATCAACACTGAAATATCAAGATTTTGTTAAAATATACATACAATGATGAAATAATATCTACTACTCTACTTATAATTCATTTCACTTACTTGGCGTTTTTATCCAGCCCCTTTCTATATTTTGGAGGTAGAGCAGAAAAAACAGAGTAACAATGAGAATGATACCGTTGAAAGTCAACCACTTCCTTCGGTAAATTAACATCGTTCCATTTCAAAATATGCATTTGCCGAACGATCAAAATTTCCTGACATTTTTTCAATGATGTTTCCGTGAAGGATTTTAATTTATCCTTTTTCTTCAAACAAAATACACCATGACTTTTCGATTTCAGACATATCTAACCGGTAAATAATTCTGACGAGCCCGAAAACGTAAAAAAACCGTCTTTTTATTCGGAAGATGCCCGCAATCACTGACGGCGACGTGACGTCTGAGTTATTATTATTGGCAACGCCACCTGTAATAATAAATAAAAACATCAAGATATGTTTCTTCAGATATTACGTAATGTCAAAAATGTATGAAATATTTTTGGAGATTTACTTGTGCAGGATTAATAAAATGAATTAAATTTTATTATTTTTATTAAATTAACCATTTTTATTATTTATTAATTTAACCATTAAAATGGTTAAATTCTAGTTTTTAGGACTAAATTCATTGGGAGACAGTTTTGATTCTTCTTCTTTACAAAGGGAAATAGGAATAAATTTTATTATATTTTTATTTATAGTTTTTATAAATGGATTAAATTAATTTCATCTGAATCACTCTAATCACTTAAATAAATATATACGATGCTACATAGTTACCCAATATAATATTTTACAGTTATTAAAATTTTAGTC